ACTCCCTGCCAACGCCACTCGGGTCTTGCTTACAGAAGACCCCTGGAGAGTGATGGGAGGTGCTCCCTGCCCTCCTTCTCTGCCTATGAAAGGGCTGAGTGTGCTACTTCTGCAGCACTGAATGTTCCCGCCAGCCCATAAATCAAGTGACCAAACTCCATCCCAATCTCCCATCCACTGCAGAAAAGCCCCATGCTTTGCCCTTACAGCATAGACGGGGCGAAGAGCTGTATTTCATCAACAGAAACCTTAATATAGAGGAGAGTCGTTACCTCCTGGAAAAAAAAAGCGTAGCCAGAGTCTTACTGGTTCTGCAGCTTGGTTTCCCCATGTTTACATCAAATGACTTGTTGAACTTCATTATATACAAAGTATTTCCATAGATCAGAGGCAGGGAGACCTGTGCAGCTAACATAAAATAAATTACCACCCCGTGATAAATGGTTCTATTAGCAATCCAGATTGTTAAACTCAGATACAACAGAATGAAGGGAGCACTGCCCCATTCATTCTCCCTGCGGCAGATACTGAGTTGTAAATAGGTTATTTTGTGTGTAAATAACACATTAAAACTCAGCATTAGCCGTGTCTTTTGATAGAGAGGAAATTGTTCCAAATAAATAATCTCGGACAGGAATGTAAAATAAGCCAGATTTAATAGTGCATGCCTGCTGCAGCCGTGTTAAACATGACTAAAATGATAAACCCCAGAATATACTAATAGTAAACTATGCTCTGACATCAAAGTAATGAGGCTGTATTTTTACCCAGCTTTAGAAATGCTAAAATTAGTCTTGACAGAGCCAGACATCAGAAAAATGTTTCAAACATAAACACCATCAATTTGGGAACCTGGTGTTTGTGTCAAGCTGAGGGTGGGGTGGGGAGGGAAAGGTGCATTCTGGGCCTTGTTAAAGTCAGGCAGTTAGCATTTAGGAGAATTTGTATTTAATTTTTATTACAAGATGAGAAACCCATCTTCCTAAATATTTCTGCCTTTGAAAGAGT